AGTAGAGAGTAGTACGTAGTAGTACGAGTAGAGAGTAGAGTACGTACGTACGTAACGTAGTACGTACGTACGTACGTACGTAATAGTAGTAGTAGTGTGTGTGTGTGTGTGAGAGAGAGAGAGAGAGAGAGAGAGAGAGAGAGAGAGATCAGTTACCAATAGCGCATTATGCGCCTTGAACCATATTGAGCCAGAGATCAGTTCAGTGGATTTGGTGTAGCCAATCAAATGCAAAATGGGTACAATCACAATTCATATAGGAACTGAATGATACAATATATTTGAATTAATTGATATTTTGTTTTTTTATTATTCTTTGAATTGCAGTTACACCAAGGTCTGTTCTTCCATTAACCGAAGAAAGTGTAGAGATGGTTCTCAAGGAGGTAAGGCCGAGCTTAATGGCAGATGGGGGTAACGTGGTTTTGCATGAGATAGATGGACTTGTTGTGGTTCTAAAGCTACAAGGAGCTTGTGGGTCTTGTCCAAGCTCAACAATGACTTTGAAGATGGGGATAGAAACTCGTTTAATGGACAAAATACCTGAAATTCTAGCAGTCGAGCAGATTCTTGATACTGAAACAGGCCTTGAGCTCAACGATGAAAATGTTGAGAAGGTGAGAAACCTCATAACCATTCTTTGTTGGTTGTTATTCTTTGAATTTTTGGCAGTAGGAGACTGTTATCTATATAAACCAACTTCACTGCTTTCCAAACTGTTTCACCGTGTTATAATTGATATGTACCTTAAAGAAGATTGTGCTACATAATGTACTGAGTTTTATTACATTTGAAATTTCTTTTATCCGGAGAAGTTCTGTCATTTCTCTATCATGCCATGTTTGATCTTCTCTTTTTGAATAAACTTGTCTGGATTCAATTGGTTCTGATTAGGAAGAACTCAAACTGGTTGGATTACTGTTTAGGCTACAAAGGTCTGCAACAGGAACTATGGTTTTCATGCTGCCCAACTTAGGGATGATCCATTACTGGATATGAGATAAGTTTGGTTATGCTATGAATTGCCTTTGAGCAATCTATGGGGAGTTTGTTATCTGGTGGCCCTATCTTTCATTTGGCAAAAACCCTTTTTTCCATGTCCAAGAACCAACCTAGGCTTTCAAGGAAAGTGTATTTTCATTGGAGAGGCTTTGTTCAATTCAATAAACAAGTTTGTCCATCTATTATGGGCCATTCTTTTGGGGATCTTTTTGCAACTTTATGCTAGCTATAAATATCCAAAGTTGTAGCTTTCACTAGTCTAAATGTTGTATTTTCTGAAATCACCTGCCTTTTTATGGTGCAAAGAAGTTCAAAAGAGAGTGAGATTGCTTAAATGCATAGAAGTTTGCAGCAACAACCCAGAGATGCTTTTATTGGGTCTGAAAATGGTCTTACACAGGTTACCGACTATAGTGCATTTCCTGCATATATACTTCATCTTTCACCTTCAATTATAGAAAAAGTTGCAGTGTTCTATAGAAGTAATCCCTGTTGATAGCTTAACTTGCATTGATATCCACAAATCGAATAATAATTTCAAAATCAGGTGGCATTTATTCTGCCAAAGGCCGGAATAATACATAAACAACCAAAACCATACACATTCATGTGCATGTGCATACACACATACTTGCACACATGAAGGTAAACATGTTTGTGCGTGTGTGTAATACACATACATACATACATGCACGCCTATATCTTTGTTTGATACTTGTAAAATTGTAAGGTTGGAAACAAATGACTGCATCACAGACTCCTATGCCATAGCCTAGTCATCATGGTCCATGGAGCTCTTAAATTTGCACCTAAGTTCCCTGCTTACCTATAAGAAGAAATGAAATGAATCCAGAATGGTCATCCAGATGACTGAAGAGAATAATCCTTTGCAGGTTCTTTCAGAGATACGACCATATCTTGCAGGCACAGGTGGTGGGGAGCTTGAGCTCGTTCAAATTAATGGATCCATTGTCCAGGTCAGGCTTACTGGACCTGCAGCAGGGGTGATGACAGTTCGGGTAGCCCTTTCACAAAAATTGAGAGAGAAAATACCAGCAATTGCAGCAGTCCAGTTATTAGATCAGTGATACCATTTCTTCTGTAGTTATATGATGTAAAAGAGATAAAGGACCATGGTCTGTGTACAGTCATTTCGAGTGACCCTCCGTAGAATATTTTCCCAGTTGAACAATGGAAAGTTACCCAAAATAATGACAAACAAGAAGAATAAACAACAAAGACCCTTGTTCTATCTTTTACTAATTCCGAGCAGGTCGAGCAGGGATCAAGCCCAAGATGTCAATGAAGTTTGTGAATTCAGAAATTTACAAGTCTATTTTCCTAATTATCATGCTTCTTGTGGTCTTGATTAAGACAGAAACATAAATATCTGGAGCATACAGATTTTCCCATTGTAGAATTTGAATATGATTTCATCCTAAGCATCTGATAAATGAGTTGCTCTTTAAGGCACATACACTACAAATTGTACCTGTCATATAAGGACATTAGAGACTGTAACACTTCATGCTAAGCCTGCTTTCTCCAGATTCACATCATATAATCTTCTTGACCAAATAAAGTTAAAATTTTGAACAAGATTCTAGGTCGAACTATCATTACTTCCAAGTATATATTCCTGAGATGTAGGCAAAGCACTCTCCAACCTCTTCATAGTATCAACAAGATCCCCCAATATTTCTTTTTCCCCTTCTTGAGATAGATGCCTCTGCAAAACCCCAAAAGCCTGCCCTTTCGGGAGCCGACCTCTGTCTAGAACTTGTCGACAACACTCATATGCCTCCTCTAACTTCCCCTTTCTACACAACTCCATCACCAACAAATCCAATGCATGGCCATGAGGACAACATCCCATCTCAACCAAATAGTTCCAAAGCTTCAAACCCATCTTATAGCAATCACTATAACAAAAACACTTCATTAACATAACCACTGTGCACATCTTGGGTACCCATCTATTCTCAACCATTCTCTTATAAAGCCCATAAATCCCCTTCATATCACCGAAATTTTTCATGCCCCAAAACATGGTATGGTAAGTTGTATTATCAAATCCAACTCCCTTCTCTTCCATCTCTCCCATCAGTTTTCTGCCTGTCTTAGTATCCCCAACTCTCACATAAGCATTTATCAAAGCATTGTAAGCCCCTGTATCAGGATTTAAACCCCTTGAAACCATATCATCAAACACTTTTTGTGCAAGTTTAGGGTTATGAGAAATACCCAATCCATGTATAAGAGTTGTGAAAGTCTCGACTGTGGGAGAACAGTTTTTCTCTTCCATTTCTTCTCTAAGTTTTATGGCTTCTCTAGAGCGCCCTTTCTTGCACAAAGCATCAATTCTTATATTGTAAGAAACATTATTTGGAGTGCAACCCCTTCTAATTATTTCATGGTAGAAGAGCTCCATGGCTGTGATATTTCCACTCTCTTTGAAACCAAGAAGCAATATATTTAGGGTCTGTGTATTGGGCGAAAACCTCGAAAACATCTTATTGAACACAGCTCTTGCTTCTTTCATTTCTCCTTGTGTACAAAAGGCTCTGAGCAAGACATTGAAGGCCTCAGTGTTAAACCCACCAAAAAATTTACCCATTTTCTCAAAAGCTTCGATGGTTTCTTCGAATGATGTATGCTTTGCGTATCGAGATAACAGTATGCTTAGCGATTTGGTGGTGAGTAGCGAGGGAAAATTATGATGGGTCCTTTCCAGTAGATCCCAAACTTTGTCGAAATCTCTCATTCTTGAGAGAATGTGAACAATTTTCTCAAAAGAGTCTGAGGAAATATGGAAATTGGGTTGTTTTGTTGCGAAATCGAAGAACTCAAAGGCTTTCAATCCATTGCAATGGCCCAAGAAAAGGCGGCCAAGCACCTGTTCGACAAAATTTGTCGAGAGAGAAGGAAGATAGAGTTGGAGAGACGGTTGGAGAGGTTGCAATGGAAAAGGGTGGTTATTGATTAAAGTGCAGATGCTTTCTATGTCTGCAGATGGTGATGGTGTTAAGGAGGGAGAAGAGAAGGTTTTGGAGAAGATGGGTCGTTGTTTGGTGATCATTTGGAGTGGGATTTGGGTTCTGCAATGCATGTTGCATCGCCTAAATTTCAAATGTCAACGGTTACCTTTCGCTAGATTGGCCACAGAGAGAGGAGAGAGCTTTAGGAAGAGAGAGAGAGAGTTCTTTCCCGCAGGTCTTGATAGTTGGACTTGAAAGTCTCTCTTTTCTTTTTCTTTTGTTGTAACTTTTATTTATTTATTTATTTTTATGAATTTTTTTTGGAAAAAGTCTCTCTTTTTGGTAGGTAATGGTGTTCCTTCTGGAAATTTTTGGAATAATCTCCTTTTTGATATTCCCCTCACATTTTTTTTTCACCCTTTAAGGGTTATTTTTTATTCCCAAATTGCTGCAATTCAGATATCCAATGTTTGAATTAAGGACCTTTTGTTATGAATGAAAGGCAGATTCGGACATTAGATTCGGACATTGGATGTCGCAAGTTTTATTTATAAATGAACTGAGTTAGACAACTAATATTCGAATCGGTCCACTTAAAAAATAAACAGGAGCGTGTTGTACGCTTAGTACCTTTAAATAGGTCTTCTGTTTGAGGGAGGGAGGGAGGGAGTGTATAATTTGCTCCAATGGAAGCATGGTAAGCTGCTTTGTTTTGGATGGTCCTGATATTTGGTTGTTCTTTAAAAATCGGGGTGAAGAGAATGGATGTCCAAACTCCAAACCCACCTTTTGTTTTTTCGAAAGTGGGGGTTTCGAACTTTGGATTTCCGAACCGGTCCGGTTACCAAAAATTAAACTTGAAAATTTGACGTTAGAACTCGTCTTTCACTTAAAAAATGAAATGTCCAAAGCCCGGACAACTAGAAATTGAAAAAAATTGGTATTTAATCATATAATAGAAAATAAAGATGACTATTTTTTAAACCAAAAAAGACTTTTTCCACAAATTTTCTATTGTTTTGAAAGAGAGATGGTATTTCCCTTGTGACTTGCTTCAGACAGTAGAGTGAGAAAAAACATGTGATGACACAACATATAATAGTGATTTTGGTTTTTTTTTTTTTTTTCTTTACTTGAGCAATTGAATGGGGAAGATAGGCCTTTTTATATCTTCCTTACCCATTTTTTAATTAGTTAGTCGCTTTTTAAAAGAGGGAATAGAAGCCACTACGTTACCCATTTTTTAATTAGTTAGTTGCTTTTTAAAGGAGGGAATAGAAGCCATTACGTGGAATTGAGATATGGGTTATGTTACGTTAACCCCTCTCCCAAGATCTTGGTTAAGCTTTAACTGTCCATTGCTATTTTTTATAATCTCTTTTTAAAAATGTTTCAAGTGAAAGGGAAAAACTAATTTTATGAATTTCGCTCTGGTTAATTTGGGCTACCAACACAAAATCTCAAAATAATATATGCTACAAGAAAGAGCAAATAATACAATTGCTCCCTCAGGTAAAATCATGCCAAGGCGCATTTATTAGGATTTTAAATTCCAAAAATAAAAATCATGTCCATTCAGTATATACCTGAAAAAATACAACGCCTTAGAATTGAATAGAGATTCTCCAATGTAGAGTATCTACATACTTCTAAACTCAAAAGTCAAATATTCTCTTTTTTCCCTTGTGAGGAGACTCATCCACTGGTTCTAGAGCAACTCCCAAAATATCAAGAGCTAACTCCCAAAATATCAGGTCAAAGAAAATCCTCCTTAACAGCTTTTATATCTGAGAGAGTAAGTACACAATTTGGCTACCTTAAGAGAGTCATAGTTGCTCTTGCCATTTACTTGCACTTGGTTGAATTTCTTCACTTTGACATTCCGAGCACGGGCCGAAAATCATATTGTGAGACCATCACAAAGCTTTGTTTAATTAAACAGTTAGATTCCCCTTGTAAAAAGGGAAAATCAGCTAATATAATTAAATGTTGTAGGCAGCCAGATTGTACGCCATGGTTTTTAAGCCCTATTACGGATGAAATTATCTCTGCCTTCTAGGGAGAGAAGTACACTTCGCCCACGTTTTTAGAAATTTCAATTGAGATGCCGACTGTTTGGCGAAACAGGTGACTATGCCCTTGGTGCTTCCTCCTCTTCCCCTTTGTTCCTTTCTACTTTCTTCTCTTCTTTTTCTTTTTTTTTTTTCTTTTCTCTTAATGAAACAAACTTAATGTTTTTAAAAAAAGAAAGTAAGTACACAATTTGCTCCCGCAAGAGTACACTATAAGCACTCATCCAAATTTTTTCTTGGATTAAACTAGATACAATGCTAAAGCATCCACATGCATTGAGAGCCCTTCCCCATATTACTCGAGTGTTTAACAACTTTATCCTCAATCCCCACATTACTCGAGTGTTTAACAACTTAATCCTCAATCCCCACATTACTCAAGTGTTTAACAACTTAATTCTCAATCAAGAATATAGTATACAATATTTATGGTGCATTATATTACAAATAAGCTCATGATCACTTCAATAGTCATCATCATCGTATCTTGGTCCTGTAAATCTCCGAACAACGGCTGCAATGGCTCCAAGAACCAAAAATATCAGAAAGAAATCAAACCCACCTCCAACCCCAATGGCAACAGAAGGGCCTGGTACAAAGAAGGAGAAGGGGGACCATCCCCAGCCCCCATAGTATGAGCCTCCAAAACCATATCCACCTACTAGTGGAGGAGCAACAGGAGGATTGATGTAAATGTTTGTCCTGCAACAATGTAGTAGCTTAGGCCCAACATGGAAATCTCTATCTCTCTCTCACTCACTCACGTGTGTACACACACGCGTGCACATTCACAACACACACACAAACACACCTCTCTCCCTTTCTCACACAAACATCTCTCTTTCACACACGCACTCACACAATCAAATTGCAGATATATACTACATGGTGTGTAAATATTCACTACTAATTAAAACACTGACAAGTTTATCACATGTAGAAACTAGTAGTGCACAAAGGAGGTGTATGTGTTGGGATGGTTGAATGATTCACAGCCTAAGATTAAATAGATACTTTGCTATCTACAACTTAAGTCGAGATTGATTCTTATTTTCTTTTTGAATATTAATTTGATAACTCAAGACATCACATTACGGCACCCACTTCATTCTCAAACTTCAAAGGATATTTCTGCTTTCTTTTACAAGTTGATGTTGATAAATAAGCAAGGGATCAGGTCCAACCCCCAAATTATTACAGGAGTACTTGCCAAACAAATAAGTTGCTAAATAATTTAAAGGATTTTTCAAAAAAGAAAAAACAAAAGAAAAATGATATGTCATTTAAAGGATGGTTGCCCCATGAGATATTGGGAGAAGTTTTGGGTAATGGAAGGATATTTGAAGGGTTACATGGATGATAGATGTGAATATCCAAATTTGGAAATAGGATCACATGTCCCAAATATAGGTTCAAAAAGTTTCCCTGGACTCCTTGGAGGCTGCCTCAAGCTACTAGGGATGGCAATAATGGACCTAGGTCGACACGACTTGGCCTAGCATGGACATGAACCTGACCCCGACCTCGACCTCGACCTGGGTCGGTTCCAAGTCATTTGGACACCGACCTAACCCACCTGGTCCGATCAGGTTTAGGTCTAGAAATAAAAAGATAAGAAATTTCATCGTCATCATTCAGTTTTTTTCCAATTAATTATGTAATTATGTATAGCGGGTTAGATTGCCCCAGCCGGATCCAATACCTGGACCCAGAATCGACCTGACCCGATTGCCATTCCTACCTCAAACCATGCTGTCATAGTATATCGATGATTTACTGGGGTGTAAAAATTGAAAAACTAAAAACTCAGAAGCATGTAGAGATTCTTGCCTCAAATTGTTGAGAAAGAGAGAGTTTTACCTCGAATTGTTTATTCTAGGGCCCGAGGACCTCGGAGGTGGAGCAGATCGAAAGGCCTGACCGCCAACTCGACCGCCGGATTTCGCAGCCATAGCATCTTGGGCTGCCCCTAGTGTTAGCACACCTGCTGCAAATGTAACAACAGCCAATTTCACCAATCTTTCTCCTCTCTCTTCCACCCTAAAAGTATACAAATTCACAGCAAGTACTTAGATTGATTTAATATTATGGTATTTTAAAGGCCTAGTCATGTATAACATTTAGGACTGACCTTTTTTGGACTTCATCTTGGTCTAATGAAGCTCTTGATCTGAAGAAAGATGATGCATATGGAAGGCTCTTGTTTGTGGAAATGGGTTTTCTAAGAGAATTTGTGAGGAAGCTTTGTTGTGGAGAAAGCAAAGCCATAGCTCTACTCCTTGTGAAATGGGTGCAAGCTTTAAGAGCGAGAATGAATTGCAAAAGGGCTGCCAAGTATATTGTTCTTGAAATTGGCCTTTAATTTTGATTCAGGGCTTATCCTGAGATGGGGAAGTGGCCACGTGGCACGGATCTAGTGGGTTTTAAGAAAATTCAAGAAGCTGAGATTTTTTTCTCAAAATTAATTTTGTGCTCTTTATTGTGGCTCCTAGAGACCCAAAATAAAAATCTGCTCAAAGTAGATTTTCCAGAATTTGCCCTTTACCATTTTAAGGAATCAATTGGAATTTTCTCTACAATTTTTCTCTTTTTAATTGCTTGTGAAAATTTACTTATAAGTTTGGAATTTCAGTTTTAAAATTTGCTAATTTTTTATTGAGATCTGTATAATGATATTTCATTAATTTTTCATATTTGGGTAATCAATCCCAGAGGATATCTGGGCATTAATGCAACAACTCTAGATGGCCAAATAAATGCCCATTGATTTACAACCTTGCCCCAAGTTCCTTACATAATTGATCTTAATATTATTGAACCGGACACCGAATTGATTGAGAGATATTCTCTAATCATTGTTCATCGAGTAAATTAAAAAATAAAGACAATAAAAATGTAGTTGAGAAACAACTTTATTTAGTCCATCCAACCAATTAAAACCAATTTATCCATATGTGAAGTCCAATTAGACATTATTTTCAATCATAATTATCAACACCATCTTGGACTAGCGATCCAACTGGTCGGACTGCCTAGTAATATCTTAGCCAGTATTGTCTAGAGTAAAATCAGCTTAAGTAAAAAATCGATCATCATCAATATTTGACTAGTTTTAATCGGTCTAGCTGACCAATTTCAACTCAATCGACCGGTCGTCGATCATACCTATCAAACTACCTTGTCCGGTGTAGTCATGATGACAATCAAACATTGCGTGCATAAGGGGACATTCACACAAACAATGGTCGTATGGTATATAATCCTTTAATTGTTATTCTAATTCCTTAAGAACCGAATGCAAAAAATTTAGACCTTGCCTGTGCTTGGAGAGTGGGTCTTCGATCCGAGAGAGAGACCTAGGAAAGTGGGACAGAACGCACATGAGATAAAAAATACAAAATTGCTATATTTATTTCATACAAAAATAAAGAGGTGTGGTTTTTAAAAGGTTGCAACCTTAAACAATCCAATTAAGGCATATCTCCAAAATTTATCATAACATGTAATTTTGTTATAAATTTTTTTTTAAGATTATTTCAAAATCTATATTTATATCTAATTATAAAATTTTAAACTTCAAAAATAATTAAAATCAAGTTGATATATAAATATGGGAAATGACCTCGTGAGACCCTCCTACACTTAAGTGTGTAGGACTTTAAATGATCATCATTAAATTTGACACAGATCTTTAAAAAAGTCAAGTTCCACACAACTTTATTTAGAGATCTGTACCAAATTTAATGGTGATTTTTTGGGATCCGATACACATGGGTGTGAAAAGGTTTCATAAGATCATTACTCTATAAATATACGAAAATCTTTAAACTAGACAGTTTAGATACCGTGTGGAAAGATAAACTATTTTTTAGGCTTAAAATCTTTGTTTTTCATATTCCGACATCTCGATGTTGTGATGATAAATTAGAGTTTTCAACATTAAAAAAATATTTTTCAATCTATTTTTGAGCTGCAGTTCTACATTTTAAGGTTAGAACCTTGTATAAACTTTTTTCAAAATACAGATACAAACCCTTTGAACTTTTTTAGAGAGAGAAACACTATTTTATTAGAGAGAGAAAGCGAGTTGCCAAGTTTTGTTTCAAACAGTTTATCACAGTACGTGGATCCAAAATAGATACTTTAGTGAGATTTTGTTGAGAGAGATAGTGGGAGACAAACACTTCATTTTAGAGAGAGAAAAACACTTCCATTGAGACAGAGAGTTGCTACGCTATTTTAGAGAGAGAGAGAGTTTTGCTAACGCTCAGGCTTGCATAAAATCTGTCCATCGTATACGTGAGGCCGCACAGCACGAATTTCCCGCTAAAATACCTTAGAGCAAAGTTGGTTGCCGCACTTCTAAAAAGCTCCAACTTAATTTCTAATCTCTCTCTCTCTAAAAATTGTCTCGGCATTCTCTCTCTAAAATTGCTGGGGATCTCAAGTCTCATACCTCACCTTCGACATTATCACAAGGTATGGTACTCGCCATTTTGCAATAGATGTTACTCGCCATTTTGCAATAGATTTACTTTTATCCCTCTAAATTTTTTTTTTGCTCTCTCTCTCTATTTTTTTCTGAAAAATTTTCTCTCTCTAAATCTCTGAACTCCCAGATTGAGCTCCATTTTGTAAGTGTGTTACCATGAGTGCATTATTGATCTGGTTTTTTCTTTTTGGGTAATTTATTGATCTGGTTTTTTCACCTAACTGGAATGGGTTTGTTGATTAGGGTTTGAGATCTGGTTTAATACGTGACAATTTTCAGGTTGGGGTTATTGTTAAGGGATCTTGGTGCATTACGGTTCAATCTCAAGAGGGAATTGCATAATTTCTGGTTTCATACAGGGATTAATGAGTTTCTTTGGTAGATTTGCTGGTTTTCTTTGTTTCTTTTTGAAATTATAATCAGCCAGTATCCATTTTTGCCTTCATAAGCCATAATTTTACCTGATTTTGAACTGATCCAAAGTTTTTCTGGTGTTTCTTCTTTTTCTGAGAAAATTTAGGTGAAAAGTTAGTATAAGAAGCTTTCTTGTCTCAGTTGGCCCATTGCCAAGATTTTGAGAAATGTCAATTGAGGCATGAATATATAAAACGTTGGCACACATTTGATCAACGTGACAGTCATAAACCCCTAAAATTTTCTATTCAATTAAACCTTAAAATGGTTCAGAGAATTAATTTCATATGGTCTTTGTCTTTGTTTATTCATCAATCCGAGAACACCATTTTTTATTTGCGGAATTGGGATCTGGGATCTAGTGTCTTTATGGCGGATTGGAGTCATCTCTAGTTGATTTTGGACTCAGAATGTGTTTGATGCAATTTATATGCAAAATTGAACTTGTTTTTTCTTTTTGGATATTTCACTGGTGATACTAACTTGTGTTTAGTCCTGAATTTGTAAGTTACCTCCCAATGCGCCACTATATTTGCCTGTAGTTTCTAGTTAAGGGTAAGATCAAAGGGGGTCATATGAGTTATGGTTGAAGAGTTGTTTTCTGGTCTCCCCAATCTAGAGTATGTAATATGAACTATGAAGTCAGTTTTTTTGAGTTCGAGAACTTTTTTTGGGATTTCCATCGCATCTGTGAGTATTTTCAGTTCAAGAAGAATTTAGAATTTCATGGCATAAGCATGTGTATATTTTAACTCATTTTTGTTTAGTGTGCTTGATGCCGGTATTGATGCACAAATGAAATTCGTTGACATTTATATTGATAAACATATGCTGTATGCTCAAATTGTGGAATGACTTTATGCTTATTGCTGCTTAGTTATTTTATTTTTTGATGCTTTCAGGAGGTTGGAAAACTTTATGGCCATGGTTGACGAGCCACTATATCCAATTGCTATCTTGATCGATGAACTGAAAAATGAAGATCTTCAACTACGGTTGAACTCCATCCGTAGGCTTTCAACAATTGCACGGGCTCTTGGAGAGGAGAGAACCAGAAAGGAATTGATCCCATTTTTGAGTGAGAACAATGATGACGATGATGAGGTACTGGTTGCAATGGCAGAAGAGTTGGGGGTGTTTATTCCTTATGTGGGTGGGGTGGAGCATGCTCATGTTTTGCTTCCCCCTTTGGAAACACTGTGCACTGTAGAGGAAACTTTTGTGAGGGAGAAATCTGTTGAATCATTATGTCGAATTGGGGTTCAAATGAAGGAAAGCGATCAGGTTGACTGGTTTATTCCTCTAGTTAAGGTAAGATATATTTGTGTATACCCTTTATATTGATATACATTTTATTTTAATGATTTTGCTATGATTCTTTGTGGGTCTTTAGGATCCACTATAGGTTTTTTGGGTAGGTCATAAGCAGAATTTGACATGAGATATGTTAGAATCCACCCTGTTGGAAACATGACATTGATATGAAATATCATTTAGAATTTATCTACTTAAGTTAATAAGAAACCTGTGTAATTGTTTCCTAGATTGTTATATCCCTTGAGCATAGAGTTGATATTATTTCCATGACCAAAACTAAGATTTAAAATTGATTTTTCTTATTTTTGCACTGCAATAGGACCCCTGATTGTGGAAGGTGTCTTCAAAGACAATATCTGAACTCAAAGAGCTAAAATCTTGCGCCTGTCAAAAAAAGAAAACAAAGAAAAGTGCTATCTTGCATATAATTTCAAAAGGTTTAAAGAAAGGAAACTACCTTTTTAGATAGATAGAGGGAGTGGAAATTGTTTAATGTTTTAGATTGTGCGTGAAAACTGCCAGAAAAGGCATTTGTAATCATAGGCTATTCTTGTTTTTTCAGCTGGATTCAGGTGTGATATCTTGATGATTTTCTTTATTTTGATACATTTTTCTCTCATTAGATTTGTTTTCTTGTTTCTTCATATGTTACATAAATTCATAATTTTCATGTGCTTTCCATAATACCTAATCTGTACTTCAGGGTAATATTTTTTATTTTCTTTATTGTGATACATTTTTTCTCTCATTAGATTTGTTTTCTTGTTTCTTCATATGTTACATAAATTCATAATTTTCATGTGCTTTCCATAATACCTAATCTGTACTTCACGGTAATATTTTTTATTTTCTTTATTGTGATACATTTTTTCTCTCATTAGATTTGTTTTCTTGTTTCTTCATATGTTACATAAATTCATAATTTTCATGTGCTTTCCATAATACCTAATCTGCACTTCAGGGTAATATTTTTCGTAGCCCTCACCTCCTTTCCTTCCCTATCTTTAGAGACTTGCAGCTGGTGAATGGTTCACAGCGCGTGTTTCAGCTTGTGGTTTATTCCATATTGCTTACCCAAGTGCCCCAGAGCAGTTGAAGGCAGAGCTAAGATCAATATATACCCAATTATGTCAAGATGATATGCCTATGGTTAGAAGGGCTGCTGCTACAAACTTGTCAAAGTTTGCTCCTACAGTTGAACCAAGTTATCTGAAGACAGACATCATGACAATTTTTGAAGATCTCACACATGATGGTATGGATCCGTTATGTATGCCCCATGATAGTTTCCATAATGGAACTCAAGTTTTATACTTTAGATGTGTTTCCCTTGGTGCTTTACTTGGTAATTCTTATAGTGACATTTAACTCACCCTTTTATCCTTCTGTTTTTGCGGAAAGAACAAACATTGGTTTCTTGTTTTTGAATTTTGCTATACTCTATATCCTGAGCAGAGTAACGTTCTCCACTGAGACTGTGCTTATACTAGCTTATGAGTTATTTTGGATATGAAGGTGAGTAATATTTTATCTTGCTTTATCTAGACTAGAATTTTATTACTGAAATTGTTCTGGGTGAGTGGGAGGAATATTTTCTCTCAACTGTACATCTAGACTGGTATCTCATGAAGTTCTGCTTTTCTTTGTTATGCCACAAAAATGGCTCAGTTCATGTGATGTAAGCAACCAAGTGCTAGAATTAAAATTGTATTGTTTATTGTCAATCACTGTTTTCCTTTCAATATGACAACTAAGGATGTTCTATTGAATACATTTCAATTACCTGGAGCATATGTTCGAAATGTAAATGCCTCTGATTGTCAGTTTCAAATGCCATCAGTTGTCTAAGATAAACCATGGTCATCATGGTGGACATAGAAAAGGACATTGTTCCATGTGATCTGTATTCTAGTCAACTTCTTCTATTCCAACAATTTTAGAGTCCTCTACTGATTTATGTGTGAATTATACCTTGGATCTGGCATTCTAAGTCATTACAATTTTATATAAATGCGTTTTATGAGGTTGCCTTTGAGTTAATTTTATGATCTTTCATATCAAGTGGGCAAATTTAGATTGATATTCTTGTCGTATTAATTATTATGTTATTCTTATCACTGCACTGTGTCTTCCTCACGCTTCTTTCAGTTATTATGACCTCAGTATATTTCTATAGACTAACTTCTTAAAACACTGACATTTCAGATCAAGATTCTGTAAGATTGTTAGCGGTTGAAGGTTGTGCTGCCCTTGGAAAGCTGTTGGAACCACTGGACTGCATAGCACACATCCTCCCTGTCATTGTTAATTTCTCTCAAGTATGATAGTTTTGAGAGTGTATATCTCTTTTATTTACCTCTTTGGACTTCGTCAAAATCCTTATTGCTTCTCTCTGTTAAAGCCTTTTGTTTAACATTTCATGGATTAGAAAAAGATGGATTTCTCGCTGATGTTTCCTCTGCTATTTGTTTCTTCCAGATATCAGGCAGCTTATTTGCATGTATTTGGTTTAAAATGCATCACTCTTTTATCTCATTTTTTAATGTGTTAATATGTTAAACTGCTAATGCTCTATAAATTCTCTGCATGCTTATTTATAGGACATATATTGGGGGAGTTTTTATCATGCTGAATGTGCCTAGGGTACATTGTCCTGATTATGTTCATGCTGGTGATATTTCCAGCAGTAAGCCTATGCATTTCAGAGAATGTGTGCTTCTAAGTTTTTCTTTTTCTTTTCCTTTCCACTGCTATATTATTTCTTTCTCTGGCCTTTGAAGGACAACAACAGTTACAAATCAGACAGTTAAAAAATTGGTATATTAATAACTATTGTTTCACACACTATCTTTTAAATGCTAATAGGTTTGTGTTTTAGTTTTCTTGAATCATGCATTTTGTTGTTGTCTTTTGGTAATTTATTTTTAGCACTTTCTTCTATGTAATTAAGCTGAACTTTATACTTGCCTGAATAGCAGAATATGTTGCTGTTATCTCAATGTTTTCCTTTAGCTTCTACCATTAGTTATATACAAGGTTGTCAAATGCGGATACAGACTTGATGTGTTAGGGGGTCTATGTGCTATGGGACTTGCAACCCACACCCACGTCATTGCTGAGTGCTGATAGAATTTTTAAGATAATATAAAATATAAGAATGCAAATAATAACATGGATATGTGATTTATGTGATAGTAGGCATTTTAATTTAGTATTTTTCTCTAATATATACCCTGTTTGAGTCTTCGGTAGAGAGTAACTTATATATTTCCTGTCTCTATTCTCTAATACAATTAGATCTTAAAATAAATTGATCCAACCCATTAATTAAATTAAAGAAAGCACAAAAGAATATGCAGCGTACCAACCAAGCACTTAAAAAAAAATTAGCATATAGGAACTAAACACACTGTAGCATAGAGTCAAAATGCCAAATGCCAAAGAGTCAAAAGTACTTTGCAAGTGCATGATATCCAAAGACCAAAAGTTCATGGCATAAAAACAAAAAAAGATGACTAGTTTCTGGTTCCGATGTCGAATATCCAAAATTCCAAGAACTTTTGATTCTAGGATTACTCGATAGGTCTTCGCTTGAAATCCTTCTAGGCATAACGCAAAAACATTTCAAGGTTTTGCCTAAGGAATCTAATCTAGTTTGTCGAATGTTCGAGATCTTAATCCCTTTAGAACCGACAAATATTGATTCTAAGGGACCCAAGGGGGATTACAGTTTTGGCTCTGCTCATGAGCACTATCTCCTCCCAAGATGAGGGGCTGTATGTGTGGATGATGCGCCGCCTATGCGAGCACATCTAGCTGGCCCACATAAGCGGCTTATGGCTGCCACACTTTGGTGCTGCTGCAAAATGTGTTATGCAGCTTCATCTGATAACTATGGTGAAGTGATATTTATTTCTAGCTCTCTGTATAACTTCTGAGAAGGTCACTAGAGTAATACTAAGCTTTTATGTGGCACTTTGTAATCAGTTGGAAACAGTCCAATATGCAATATTGTGTCAATGACAGTGAGAGTTGTTGTTTGAATGGGTATCTTTGGAAAATTTCTGATCTCAGTTTGCGAATTCTGCTAGTTTTGCTTTTATATTCATTGGGTGTGAGATATATCATATGCAAAGGGCTATTTCATGGCCATAAAGTGGCGAGAGTTGGGTTTGTTGTTTGTTACTACTGCACTTCATGATGAAGAATTATTTATAATTTATATTCAGGTAGTAGAACTGTACAACTAACAAAGATTTAGAAAATAGCGTAGCATGCGGTCTAGTGTAGTTTGACAGAATATCTGCTGATTAATGTATGTGATTTCCTTGAGCAGGATAAGTCTTGGCGTGTTCGTTACATGGTTGCCAATCAATTATATGAGCTCTGTGAAGCAGTTGGCCCAGAGTCCACGAGGTAGTAGTGTTTGTGTTCTTGTGAAGCAAGTTGCAAGTTTCCTTATCTTTTGGTATCACACTGTGAATGTGGTTGCTTTCCTTGAAAATATGAAATGATGTGGGTTTAATGATCGTTGATGTACTAGCTTTCTGAGAAGAATCATGTGTGCTACTAGTTACTTCTAACTAGTATCATGCACCTATGGGTATAAACACTAAACATGATGTAGAAAGTATCTTTATGGGTAAATGATGAGCTAAAATATAGTGTTAACACTATACACTACTACAAACCTTACTAAATATATAGATGAAGTAAAATCTAGGAAGAGAAAGGGATCCCAAATATTCCTTTGGATTGCAGCTTAAGGTCCTGGTGGACCTACCTTCCTCTTTCCCTTCCAAATGTTTCCTGATAAGGTTTCTTGTTTCTCCTTGTTGTGGCCAGTCGAATTTCTGAATTTTGAAGGTTGATGCTGTGAGGTCTCATTTGGTATTGGAATGGCTTCTTAAAAGACAAGTGATTCACAGTCCCTCTATTTGAAACCCCATCGACTGTGGGCGGTGCTCAACCCTAGGACCTTTACCGTTTATTGCCACGTGTAAACAGATGACTTCAGTGCCAATTTTGTACGAAAACACAAATTTTTGTAAGCAGTAATTTCTATGTGAATGCAATAGTGTGTATTTCACTCAAAAGAGAAAGTGAATTAGACATCATAGGAAGGTAAATGGAGATTAAGGAAAGCAGAAAGAAGAGATAATTAGGAAAGGCTTAATATAAGTAGAAAAATGGGAGGTTTTGAGGAGAGAAAATAGGGAATCAGAGATAATAGAATGTGGGAAGATAATAGTAAGGAGCATGCTTATCACTATAAAGAGAAAGAGTCAGAGCCTAAGTCTAAACTTATGTGAACCTTTTATGTAGGTTCAGTTTTTACCTGGGAGAACTATGCTTTAATATATAGTGGTTTGATTAAATCCAGTACACTACAATGCATGAGTTAAACCAATTTTGATTAGCTTTTGCTTGTTAAAGGGTAGAATTAGTGCCGGCCTATGTTCGGTTACTTCGAGACAACGAGGCAGAAGTTCGCATTGCAGCTGCAGGAAAAGTAACCAAATTTTGTAGGATTTTGAATCCCCAGCTCGCTATTCAGCACATTCTTCCTTGTGTGAAGGTTGGTTTGCTTCACATTTGATTTACTAAATGCTTTGCCATAATTGTTCCCCCAACCGTGGGGTTACTTATCAGTTTCAAGGATCAAAACTGTGATCATAATGGATATATCAAGTCCTGGCCTAGCCCATCATAATGGGATGGCCATTATGGGTACTTGGTAAAGATAAGTTGATCATCATCATCCGAGCCTCATCCCAACTATTTGGGATCGGCTTGGTCAAGATAGGGTGGTGATATGATCAAATATCTAATATTCTCTAAAACTTATCGGCCAATATGTATGTGTTAGGCCGATATATGGGACATTTATATTCAATACGTAAAAATGTAACACCCCTTCTATTTTCCCAATTCCCATCCAATATATCAGCCAATATTGTTTTAATGTACCATTTCTTGTTGAACCTTTCTTTATGTTGAACAATGGAAAATGTAATACAATATAATCCAATGGAACATAATAAACCAGAGTCCATTGTGTCGTTACCATCCATCGAATGATGGATGGTGATGAAAAGGGAGCGGTGCTCACCATTTAGGTCATGTCCTGTACTCTTCTGGTGGGTCCCATTCTTGCCTCATGATTGTCCATCAATGTGATGGATGGACAATGGTTATTCCCTGGCCTTTAGTTTGTTACCTACTTGACCTTTAGCAGACTTACTAGTTCATTCACTTATTTCTTGCATCTATGGTCCAATGCAGTTCTCTTTAGCTATCTTGGTCAAATTGTTCTTTGTTTACTTGTGACCAACAAAGTTGCTTTTCATGCAGGAACTATCATCGGATTCCTCACAGCATGTCCGTTCTGCTTTAGCTTCTGTTATAATGGGAATGGCACCTATTTTAGGAAAGGTGTGGTTCATTTTGTGATTCTGTTTATTTGTTTTCATTTATACCGGTATGTACTTTGGATGGTATTCTTATGCTACCATGCTGGAAGTGTGCGTGTATTTTCTTGGAAGTGTTTGACAGATGTTGTTAGACATTTAAATCAAAAGAAACCTTGACTTGGATTGACAACACAGAACTGGAAAATGGGTTGCATTTGGTACCAAAGTGATGCATTTTCCCCAGGTTTTATTCAATGTGGGCAACAAAATTAATGAAGACATGTACACGTTGTTATTATTTCCTTGGCTGCAAACTTGCACAATGGGGAGGTCTCTAGTATTTTTTCCAACTTTTGACATTTTTGAATTGGATATCATATGAGTGAGTATCAACTAATGTTTATCTTGGAGTTTAGATAGTATATAACCTGCTCCTTTATTGGCAACCTGAAGAGTGGTCCTTTTGGAGTTGAACTTTTACCCCACCCTCCATGCAAAGGTTATCAGGGTATAACTATTTCTATTTCTCCTTTGCTTGGCCAATGGAGAAAAAGATGTTTTATACTTTTATCTTGAGAAAGTGTAGGTCAACTGCTTCAAAATAAAACGATGAGAGAAGAAGAATTACAAGTTAACCATAAAAAATGATGTTCAAAGTTAACTATAACAAGGATCTGCCCAGGGAATAAGTGGTCAGGGTGGTGGGATGCTGCAATGTGATGTCTTGGGTTCCATTCCTACCAGTTCCCAAGTTAACATTCAAAACAAAACAGAATAAAATAAATAAAATGACGTTCTTTTTGTCCTTTAATTCCCAGTTTTAATAGAACTGGATGTAAATTTTTAAACAAAATGTAAGTAATATGCCAATCCGATTGTCTAGTTTATTAGCATGGAATATCTGCAATGGCACTTTCCATAATTGAACTTTTCATTCATCGCATATCTGCAAGGAATTGAACATTCTAGGTTCTCTCTCATCCTAAACAAAACAATTCCATCTTTTGCTATGCCTCTCAGAGTAGTTTCTATGAAGCTAGTCATATGTATATTAAATATTTGTCTTATCATATGTATTGTTGCCTATGCTGTTTTGTTCTGCAATGGGTAATTATTCTGAAAATTTGGTCTTCAGTGAGTTCTGGTATGAAAAAAGAAAACATAATGAAAGATAAATCTTCATTCATAATTTCTAATTCTTCTGAAAAACTTATTTTTTTTCGCTTACTTTGTGCGTGACATTTGAATTTCTTGTTATGTCCAGCTAACTCATCTGTGCTGATTTTAAACAGGATGCAACCATTGAGCTACTTCTTCCAATATTTCTTTCTCTTCTAAAAGATGAATTCCCTGATGTTCGCTTGAATATCATTAGCAAGCTTGATCAAGTTAATCAGGTTCGATTTGAATGATTTTGCTTGGTTTATATTTTACACAACCACTTCTCTCCTTAGAGATTTTTATACAGTTTTTTGAATATTGAGTAGCTTTTCATCTTTTACTACTCTCTTGTATATTGGTGCATTCCTTGATTAATTAGTTTAATAGTGAAGTTGGGGCTTTAGGTATTATTTCCATAGTTTGTTGATTAACCCTCCAAAAAATGACTGAATTTGAATTTCCTCTCAAACTATCTTCGAAGCTGAGCTTAAATTATCTGGGTGCCAGAGGTGAGCCCTGGGCCTAAGGCTTTTCCTTGGGATGGCGTCCCCAGGAAATCTTTAGCATTGACCTTGTATCTTTAGAAGTGACTCTTTTAGTGATGTAAATCTTCTTTTTTGATGCCTTACATTGGATTGAGGTTGATTATTAGTCACTCACCTCATCTGATTATTCAACAACTTTCTCTTGGGTTTGGCTTTCTCCCTTAAAAATGTGCTTCTCTCTCCTTTGAGGCTCCAACTTGTTCCAAAATGCATGTTCCGCAAAGAAGAGACATTTCTTGCTTCCATCTCGGTTATTTAGGCTTGGCATAGTTGAGTTTCAAAGGCTAATTTTTTTTTTAGTTTTGAGTAATTAATGAGAATATTATATCGTATAGAAGGAAGCTGAATGAGGGCAGGCAAAGTTAATTCCTTCAAAAGGGTAATTCATATTTCAACTTTCATTCTGCAAGTAGTTCTGCAATTAGCAATGTGTTTAAACACTCGGACCAGGCTAGGATCCGGGTCCCGACATGTGTGGGGCCCGAGATGGAGTCTGCCGGTTCTATTCAGCTGAGTTTCAAAAGGAATCGGCGGAGTTTATAAAAAATAACAAAAGAAGGAAGGCGAGACTCAGTGAGTCCTGGGTTACTGGTCCGGGACTCACCAGGGCCCCAAGTCCTGAGGGCGCACCATGAGTTTTTAAACACTGATAATCAGTAAGGGCCACAATGAGATTTGCTCGCATGTTTTGTAAACCTAATTTGATGTCATAATAAAGTCTAGACAAAAATGTCCTACTACATCATTATCATAGGCACTTGCTTCTTAGACATGGGACTTCACCTCTTTGTAAATGTAACGTATAATCTCGTGATTGCATATCTGCCTGGTGAATATTCAGCTTGAAGTAGAACTGGGAAATTCTAGTTGGGCTTTCTTATATTCTAAAAATCAATAATAGTAGGGTTTTGCTGAAACCCAGCAAATAATAAAATACTTGGAGTGTATGAACTTTAATAGGCTGTCTGAATATCCGGTTACCTTGATGAATTATCTGTTTTGATGTCATGGTTCATAAGCCCCCTATTTACTCAAAGGGCACAATTATATATTTTCAAAGAGCTGTGCGTTTAAGTTTGTCAATTTGGAGATATTTTGATTATCTATTTTGTTATGATTCTCCTCATTTCAGGTGATTGGAATTGATCTTCTTTCCCAGTCGCTCTTGCCAGCCATTGTTGAACTTGCAGAGGATCGGCATTGGAGGGTTCGCCTTGCAATAATTGAATATATTCCTCTTTTGGCAAGTCAGTTGGGTGTAGGGTTCTTTGATGATAAGCTTGGTGCTCTTTGCATGCAATGGCTGGAAGATCAGGTTTTCATTATGTTTTCCATCACCTGCTGAATTACATTACATTTCTATATGTACACATGTATCAATTATCCACAAGTAAAATGAGTATCACTTTTCCATGCATAAAGATACATAAATACATGCATGAACTCATGTTATTGCAACAAAAATGTGCACGTACGGATTCTCAGAGATTTCTAATTTAAGGGAGCAACCTTTGCCTTTCTGCGGATGATTAGACTGCCCATGCAGTTTTTCTTATGATGTTCTTTATTTTTTTGTCTATCTGAATGGTAAGCATCCACTAAGCATCCTTTGAGGATTGCTTATTTCATTTCTTACTAGTCATTGATTATACTGGTTTGCACGTCAGTGTTAGTATTATAATATGCTTTCTTTGAGTATGGTTTTGGTTTTCTTTTATGTAAGCTGAGGAAGTTATAGCAGGTGTTCTCTATACGTGATGCTGCTGCAACTAACTTAAAGCGTCTTGCTGAAGAATTTGGCCCTGAATGGGCCATGCAGCATATCATCCCACAGGTTCGTCATGAACTTATTCTGATTGGTGAGACTGATCTATATGCCCCCGATCTGTGAAATTATCGAGTACTTCATTTGAGATGAAAGAGCTCATTGATATTTATGAATATTATGTCCAAAATGTGCTTGTGATGTCTGATGTTTAGACTTAGCGCACACAAAAAAAATAAGATAAAAATAAAGATTTCTGATGGTTAGTGTCGCTGTATTCACATTTATGATGGGATAGTGCATTTTGATTCTCATCGGCTTTTAATCTATATCGATACAGTTATAATAGGCTTCCTCTCTATGTCCCTGATATTCTGAATTTCATCAATACTGCGTAATATATTAAATTTCTTGTGATGTCTATCATCATCATGGATTCATAGCCTTCCATTACAATTGATTTAGTGTTAAGCATCAAACTTTTTAGCTTTGCTTTAAAAAAGGAATGGTTTTTTTTAGGGTGTAGTTTGTACAAGGTTGAGGTCCTAAACAATCAAAGTAAGGCCTTTAATAGTGTCAACAGATGTTGTTTGAGTACTGGAAATCTTTGAAATGGCCTGGAAATTTATTTTCATATTTAATTATAAAATTTAAAGCTTCGAAAATAGTGTAGATCAAGCAGATCTATGAACACTTGAAAATCTTGAAAATTAACGGTCTACAAGATGCATTATTTCCAAGATTTGAAATCCATTTTTTCCGATGTCCATATGTCTTGAGGTTGAGATGATCAATTTGAGGATTTTTGGGCATCGTAACAACCTCATCTAGTGAACTTTTTAGGTGTGCCTTAATTTGATTGTTTAGGACCTCACCCTTATATAAACTTCGTCCTTTTCATTAAGTATATTTTTTATTATTAAATAATTACTGATTTAAGACAAGGGATCTGAAAGGCATGCAGATCCTTAGTGAGGCTTAATATATATCATCATCATCATCTAAGCCTATCCCAACTATTCGGGCTAGACTACACAAATCCTATTCGACCATTCTGCTCTATCATATATATATATATATATATATATGGAGAATTTGAGGTTAGCCCACTAGCTAATAGCTAGAGTGTTAGCCCAACAATCTGGGTCGATTTAACTGTTACGACCTCATTTTGTAATATAATTTTAGTATTTTTTTTTTTAAGAATCCAAATCACATGAAATTTTAAGCATCCACTCTTTTCATTAAGGCTCACCTAATAAAAATATTTAAAAAATAATTCGTAAAAATAAATTGACCAAAATACCCCCCTGAAAAGTTTCAAGGGTATTTTGATCAATTTATTTTTTGATATTTTTATTTGATTCTACAATTTTTAAAGAATAGACACTTAAAATTTCAAGTGATTTGGATTTGTAGAAAAAATATTAAAATTCAAATATGAAATGCAATCGTGAACATCGGATCGGCGCAACTTCAATTTAGGCCATTGGGTTTACACACTAGCTGTTAGCAAGTGGGCTAACAAGATCTTTTCCCATATATATATATATATATATATATTATTAATTTTTTGTAAAGTGAGAAATAGGAACTTTTATTAATTTTTTGTAAAGTGAGAAATAGGAACTTTTATTAATTTTTTGTAAAATGAGAAATAGAAACTTTTATTGTTTAATTATTTTGCCAATAAAAAATATTTGATATGATAAATAATTTATCCTATGCAATGGAGTCCTAATGAATTCATAAAATTGTCTTGAATTTCTCAAATTTTTGTTTTCATGGAATAGCTATATCATACTTTCTTTTTCATATTTTGATTAAGAACTTACATTCTTTTGAAAATGATTAGTACACAAAATTTTATAATATTTTAAAAATTATTTTTTAATTTGATTGATGGCAAAATTGCATTGCACAGGCTGTGGACTAGTAATTGTTCTTCTGTCCTAAATATTCGTCCAGCATGCTAGTGCAACTCTCAAAACTAAATTTATTGAGAATTGTACAAGTTTCTCTTAGAAACACTCGAGTAAGATGTACTTGTTCATTGCTGATTATCTCTATATCTTATTATAATATTAGTATTTGCTACCTTCCGACAGTATGCTGGATTTTGATATCCTACTGAAATTTTCATCGCCATAAATAAAGTAGACCTATATAGCAGACCATGCTTGGGTAATGGTAGTTTCCATCATTCAACATGGCAATGGCTGATGGTTTCTTATGGTGTTTTAAACTCTGGACTCGGGTCGGGATGCTCTAGGGTCATGGGTCCTAGTCAAGCAGGTTGACTCAGCTGTCTTAAAAAGTTTCCCAAAGAAACTTGGGAAGGAAGTGACTTGGCTAGTTCCCAAGTATTTTCACACGGACCTGACCCAAGTCCAAGTACTCCGGCTAGTTTTAAAGCACCGGTTTCTTATATGGGATTCTCACTCAACCCTTTTAACAGTTGCAATTTTTTCCTTATAGGTTTTGGAGAAGATAAACAGCACTCATTATTTGCAGCGTATTACCATTCTTCACACTATTTATCTTCTAGCACCTGTCTTGGGATCAGAGATCACATCCCAAAGTCTCTTACCAGTGGTTGTTAATACCACAAAAGACAGGTGCTTTTCATGGCTTGCCTCTTAGAATTTATTTGTTGTTTTATTTGGGTGGGAACTTTAATGCATGATACATGGTGCACCATGTTGCATCCCACTGTCTGTTCCCCAATGGAGGGTTGGTATCAGCTGTGTTGCCTATAATGTTGGTATCAGTTGTATTGCCTAATTATTTATATTCATTGGAGTACAGTAAATCTCCATTGCCCAAACTTGGGAACGGTCATTGGGCACCCATAAGGTGTACATAGACCATAGATCGATGGCATATGGTATGCTTTCCCTTTATTTTTTGTGCTTGCTAAGTAATTTGGAGAAAGAAATATATTTCTGCAGGGTACCCAATGTTAAGTTTAATGCAGCGAAGGTGTTGCGGTCTCTCATTCCAATTCTCGACCAATCTGTGAGTGATAAACGCTATCAAGAACCTTGTAATTCTCTCTTTTTGGCTGTGATTTTATTTTCTAATTTTTTGCTTTTGCTTTTGGATTTTTTGGTGTTTTTTTTGTAATGGGATTTAGGTGGTGGAGCAAAGAGTGCACCCCTGTTTGGTTGATTTGTATGAAGATCCAGATGTGGATGTGAGGTTTTTCTCTGGTTTGGCTCTTGAGGTCTGTGAACAAGTGAAGCTTTCTTAAATGGAGTGTCATAAGTATCTCTATTGGAGAAGCAAAAAGGAAGAAGAATATTGTAACAGTTGGAATTTTTAGCTCTAGGAAATTTTATTGTGGCAGGCATAGGTTTTTTAAAATTTTGTTCCATTGATTACAATTGTTTCTTCTATGTTCTTTTGGAGTGAAATCCCTATTTGGAGGTTCTTCAAATATGTAGCAATGAGATGTGAGGCCACGGTTTGGTTGGTATGATGCCTCTCTGTCTATCTTCAAAATTGTAGCAATGAGGTTTGAGCCCACGGATCGGCTGGTAATGTCTCTCTCTCTCTAATACGCATATTAGGATGAGACTAGGGCTGCCAACATGCAAGGTTTGAGCTGGGTCAGCCTTGGCTTGAGACCAGCTCAAAGTCTTTTAGCTAGGCCCAGGCCCGAAAATGACCTTCACAAATGGACAACACAAAAATTGGATAGATTGTGCTGGGTTGGACTCAGGCCCATCTTTGTTGATATATAGGTGTGGTTTGTATGGGGTCCCCACCTATACCTGGTGCACCTCTAAATTTTGTTGGAAGATACAGTTGCAGTGCTGGAAATCTTACCATGTATTGAAAATCTATGTTCAATCCTAATTATAAATTTTAAAATTCAAAGACCTTGCAAATCAAGTAGATCTATGGAGCACTGGAGAATCTTGAAAATTGACTATCAAGATAGCTTGTTGCATGATTTATTATTAGGAGTGGAATTTTTTTTTTTTTATATACATACATATTGATCTATCAATTGGAAGGTTTACCAACTTTAAAAATTCGTTTTTATTGGATTTTTGAGGTGTATTGTACTTCTACTCTATCAATTGGAAGGTTTTCCAACTTTAGAAATTCGTTTTTATTGGATTTTTGAGGTGTATTGTACTTCTACTAGTGGGATTATGTGCATTGCACGTAAAAATAAAATAAGTGATCACGTAAAAAATCGCGTAATATACAAGGGAGGGTCCATGCTTTTCTACTTAGACCCTAACCCCACATGCTTTTTTTATTTAGAACACATCGTTGGAATCTAAACCTTCTCTCTATATCTCTTTCGCTATTTTACATTCCATAAAATTATTAGTCATAAAGCAGTTAGTGTTTATAAAAATTCGTGCTTTGACATATGGAAATTGGCTATAAACTATTTTCAAAAACATGGAAAATTTGTTAAAAAATATTACATCAATGCTTATATTTTAAATGTTTTTTTTTTTAAAAAAAAATTATCACAATTATATCTTAATTTAACTACCATAATGCTCTTGGAACACGGGAAGGAGAGAAACCCATTTTGGGAGCATGGATTTAGAAAGAGGTAGAAGAACACAACTTATGAAGCCATGAATAATTGAGAGAGAGGAATGGAGGAGAGAGGGGCAAGCGGTGGGAAAAGGATAAGAGAGATGAAAAGCTGCACTCGTAAATATTGGAGAGACGGGCGCTACACTTGACTCTCTCCCGAAGCTTTTGCTCACAAAAGCTATGTATTTGGATGAAGAGGCATTTGCTCAGGCTTCCATCAATGCTGATTAAACTCGCACCATCAAGGTTTTCCCCCCCTCTCTCTCTCCTCTCTCATCTTCTCTCTCTAAAAACCACCAATGTGCATTGAATTTCTAATTTTTCAGTTCGTGGGATCTGAATTTCTGAATTTTTACAACTCTTTTTTGTATCTCTCTCTGTCTTGGGCAAATATCTCTTTGTTCGGTTCTTTCTTTCTATGAATCTCTACCAATGTAGACCAATTCCGATTTTTGTTCAAGGATTCTCTGAAATTTACAACCTTTTCTCTTCTCTGTTTCACTTTAGACCAGCACACAAAACTTCATATTTTTTCAGCTCATAGAATCCGTGAATTTAGGAGGTCTACAAATCTCTCTCTCTCTCTCTCTCTCTCTAGACTATCGAAATACAACAATTTCAGTGTTCGGGTTCTGTGGAATTTATCATCCTCTCTTTCTATCCATTTGTTGAAGCAAAAAGCTAAAACACCCGCTCTCTCTCTTTCTTAATTCATTTTCGTTCTCTCGGAAAGTCAAAACTCTATGGATCATGAGATTACGGTAATTCGAGTACTCTAATAAAAAGTTAGAGACTTACAGTATTCTAAGTGTCCTATAAAATATGCTAAATATTACGGTGGTTAAATTACTGTAATGGTGCTTCACGGTAATACGACTACTGTAAAAGATATTTTAGTAAATAAAAAAATAAAAATAAATAAAAGAAAAGAAAAGAAGAAAAAGAAGGTGTTGACAACGTTTATAAAAGTTAAGAGTTTTAAGGTTTATAAAAGTTGAGGGTTTTTTTTGTAATAAAAATTAAAATATATTTGTGATAATTTTCCAAAAAAAAGAATCTTAAATGAAATTTCAAAATATTAAAAATTTAAATGTAAATATATAAAAGATGTAATATTAGATATTGACAATCTCTATCCTCTCCAATCGTAACTAATGGTCGATGGGCCGATGTAGAGAAGTTATCATTCAAAACAAGTAAGAAAGAGCACAATGGATAGAATAAAAACACAAATGGTCAATGGGCTGATGTAGAGAAGTTATCATTCAAAATAAGTAAGAAAGAACACAATGGATAGAATAAAGACACAAAAGAAATAAAAATAGAAGAGAGTATTGATAAATGAAATAAAATAGAGTCATTTATGTACGTAAAAAAAAAAATAGAATGGCTAATTTTGGACACAATTTATACGGAAGGTTGGTCAATTTCTTTTTTTTATTTTTTTTCAAAATTTCCTATTGGTTTGAGGATGGTGCTTTTTAATTTATTATTATTTTTAGTTTGTTTCATTAGAAGGGCGGTACACTTGTTAGCATCCTCCAAACGCTTTTTCTTAGAGATAAAAAAGCATTATTTTTTAGGACAAAAAAAAAAGAGCTAATGTGGTCCAAGGATGTCAAACTTGGATTGGTTGTAAAAACATTAGATTAACTCTAAATCCTAAGGAACATCATTCCAACACTAGATGATATATCCAAAAATATACATGATATATCAAAAAATAAGTATATATCCAAAAATAAATGCATAACAACCTCTACATTATTTCTTAGCAAAAAATCCAAGCTTGGATGGGTTCTAAAAACATTAGATTAATTTATATCAACTCTAAATCCTAAGTAATATCATTCCAATATATCCAAAAATAAATGCATAACAACTTTTTTTTCCATTAAATTAAAATCTAACCCTACCTAAAATGCTCCTAAATATTACGGTAACAAACTGAAGAGGCTTCATAACGACCAAAGGTTTATTATTCATTACACCACAATCCATTTAGGCATGTTTCTTCAGTGTAAGATCAAAAGAGAGAGAAGAAAAAAGAGGAGAATTGTACTTTTCATTCACGTTAAGCTTCTTTCTTGTTGGTAAAAGAAAGATTGAGGGTTTATCTTTAATGTGGAGAGGGAGAGAGATAGGGAAAGGAAGAGAGAAAAATCCAGAGGAACCTGAGGTCTATAATGTGGAGAGGGAGAGAGAGATGGGGGGAAGAAGAGAGAGAAATAAAGAGGAGTTTTATGAAGAGAAGGTGGAGGAGTCACCTCAATTCTTATGTTTCTTTCCTGAGAAACTAGACAACTTGAATTTGGATGTGGAAATTTTGGGCCTTGAGGAAGGAAACAACATGAAGTTTAATGTGATCAAGAAACATCATATCAATATAAGCTGAGACCATGGGGACTACACTTCTTTGGCAGGGTCCTTGAGACATGTTTATTACAAATTTTATCCCAAGATTAAGTTCGAGAGGACTTGACCTTGCCAATGCTATTCGAAAGCATCGCATAGCTTATGTTCACCATGAGAATGACATGTTGCAAGTTGGGGACGTTGATTGGAGGTAAGCAAAGTTTTTTCTCCATGCTGTGGATTTGAATTCCATTGTTTCTATTTTATTTTATTTTTAATTTTATATTTGTCTTTTATATCCAAGGATTGAAAAATCTGCGAGCCGACTCGAGATTGGACCCAGCAGATGGTCCTTGGACTAGATAGTCGCCTGAGTTGACAAGGATTTGATTGTTCAGTATAGGGACTTTTTTTTTTTAATATTAATTCATTTTTTCTTTCGTAATTTACACTGACTCACATGAATCTCCACCTCGGGTTTGCAAGAACCCAATTCTTGATTTTTAAACACTGTTTTGTACTGAGTCTTTTAATATCCCATGAATGAAGGCATGTAAGACTGATGGGTGGGATTTTTTTTTTTATTGGTTTTATACTTAGTAGTCTTTGGAACTATGATATGAATATGAATTTAGAGAAATATGAATGGAAATTTAATATAATTCAATGGAGTATGTTGTATGGTGCTCCAACCACCATGAATTCTTGGCAAGAGGCAGTGGAGATCAACTGTGATGGCCCATTGATCCAATTCTGATCAATCCACGCCGTTCCTCATTAGAAACAAAAGGGTGTACCAATTGATGAACGAGAAATGCTGGAGGATCTTTCTATAGCGGTTTAGCGGTGCTGTTTGGTAGGAAATATGATATTGATCGATGGTATTACTCGCTCGGGAGAGCAGGTTTAAAAAGGAAGATCGGTGGGTTTTTTATACTCGTCGAAGTTATGAAATTTTAGTTTTTGCTCTATTTCTTACATTTGATTTGTAGTTGTATTTATCTATTTCACATTTAGCCAATTGTGCACACAATCTTAAGTGGGGTCCTAATCTTGGTCTTGCAAGGGGTTTCCGAAACCCTTACAACCCGGACCTGGTTCAAGTCTAAGTCATTTGGACACGGATCCAACTTTCCAAGTCCAACACATGGACCTGCATTCCAACCAGGTTCAGGTCAATCCACCAACCCTTGACCCAATTGCCAACCCTACTTTTTCTTGGATACTATGCTCCATATGTTTATGGCATACTAATACATTTTTGGAGCATGAAATATTATACTCCATTGGTTTATGGCATAGTTGTTCATGTTTATAGGTTTTTTTATTTAATGCGGAACATTTCTTATGAATGCGAAGAAACTCTTGATTGTGCCTGGGAAGCACCGACTTGAGGGCGATTTGGAGAAGAAAAGTCAAAAGGACCCGGTTTCTGTGCTGCCAAGCTCGCATATGTAAAAATGAGTGCCTATTAATAAATTTATTTTGAGATAGATTTTTGGACTTAATTTTTAAGGACATGTAATCTCTAAAAATAATAATTCTAGTAAGAAAACATTTGGACCGTTAGTTTCCATTGTTTTTAGATGGAACACCTATGCATATGTA